AATGAGACCAAGAAAAATAGAATACAACAATAAATACCATACGAAAATACACTGCAAAGTCGCTGATTTATTCCAAAAAAATGGTCAAAGTTTTTTTTTTCTCATTGTGCACTGTGTGCTGCAGGATTTTTTTTAGACTGTGCACACTGACCACATAGACCCATTCTTTCATATGAAGGCCTACCAGCTTTCTCCCACTAGATTTGAGGCCGCTAGAATTTATGCGTACTAGTACGTCAAAAACCCCTACGCGTAAGACGTACTAGTACGACCAAAACCCTCAAAGGGTTAAAGCAAACATAAAACAATAAAACATGACAGGTATATCTTATTTGAAAGAAAAATGAAAAATGAAATGAATAAAATAACATTTGAACTCAACGCTAATATATACATTGGGGTGTCTGGTGTTGGTGACACTTCGTGTTGTTGAAATCTTAGCCGTTGCTGATGTGGGGGGGGGGGGGGTCGCAGATGTTGGTGACCACCACCGGCTAGTTCTTCACAGAGTATCGCCGTGAGTATTCTATCCCGATGACAGGAAAGTAGGTTCTTTACCGCTGCAATGATGTGGGGTTACGTCCTGCAATTTCATACAGGTGCACAGGTAATTAATCCAAAAAAATGGGGAATCTCTGGACGATAGTCCTTCTCCATCAGTTCTTCTCGTTGATTGACAGGTGACCCTCTCTGTCATCCAAGAGTAGTGTTGGGAGCTGTGAGTCGAGTGATTTACTGTTTGACCAGAGCCCCACACGTCACCTTTCGGGGGGGGGGGGGGGGGAAGAGGGAGGGGAAGGGATAGTGGAGCTAGACTACCCCCCTTAACAACAGCCGGCAATAAATTTTTTTACTTTCGGAGGGAAAAGGGGGGGGGGCCCCCCCCCCCCCCTTTACTCCTATCTATTGAACTTTTCCCTCACTTGCCTCTTAAAACACGCATGGCTTACAGAGGAAAAATTCTTATTCCACTTCTCATGACTACTAAAGGAAAATAATAAGAACAAGAACAATAATAAGAACAAGAGCTGTTGGAGTGTGAGCAGGGTAATATTTTGTGAAGGAATTCAGGGAAACCGGTTATTTTATATAACTGGACTTGAGTCCTGGAAATGGGAAGTACAATGCCTGCACTTTAAAGGAGAAGTTTGGGATATTGGCAGTTTGGAGGGATATGTTGTGTATCTTTATATGTAGATACTTCTAAACTGTTGTATCCTGGGCACCTCTGCAAAAACAGTGATTATGTGTGAGTGAGGTGAAAGTGTTGAATGATGATGAAAGTATTTTCTTTTTGGGGATTTTCTTTCTTTTTGGGTCACCCTGCCTTGGTGGGAGATGGCCGACTTGTTAAAAAAAAAAAAAAAATATATATATACTAAGAAAACTAAAGAAAACTCGAGAGAGAGAGAGAGAGAGAGAGAGAGAGAGAGAGAGAGAGAGAGAGAGAGAGAGAGAAGAGAGAAGACAGAGAGAGAGACAGAGAGGGCAGAGAGAGAGACAGAAAGAAAGAAAGAAAGAAAGAAAGAAAGAAAGAAAAAAAAGAAAAGAAAGAAAAGAAAGAAAGAGAAAGAAAAGAGAAAAAAAGAGAAAGAAAGAGAAAGAAAGAGAAAGAAAGAAGAAAAAAAAAGAAAGAGAGAGAGGTGAGTGTGAGTGTGAGTGTGAGGGGTGTGAGGTGGGGTGTGTGTGTGTGTGTGTGTGTGTGTGTGTGGTGTGTGTTGTGTGTGTGTGTGTGTGGTGTTACAGTAGGGCCCCACTTATATGGCAGGTTAGGTTCCAGACTACCGCCGGAAAGCGAGATCGTTGGAAAAGCAGAACGCCATTTTTTTCCACTTATAAAAAGCATATAAATCCCAGATAAGTTTACAGTAACATACATTAGTTAGCAATAAACCAGGCATTATAAAACAATAAAAATAAAAAAAACACACGTACAC